GTGAGCCGAGATCGCGCCATTGCACCCCAGCCTGGGTAACAAGAGCGAAACTCTGTCTCAAAAAAAAAAAAAAAAGAAGTTTTTGTAAAAATGGCCTCTCCAAGATTATTGATGCACTTACTTTTCACATTTGAAGCTTGATTGTTAATTTCGCTTTTTTTTTATTAGTAACTTTAGGTTTCTATTCACTATTTTATTTTTCAAATTAAAATATAAATCAACACCTGCTGTGTGCCAGGCATTCTTGGATGCTTTACCTGTTTTGTTTCATTTACTCCTCACCACAATCTGTAAGGTATTAATATCTATTGACATTACCATTTTTACAAATAATACAACTGAGAGCCTCAAAACAATTACTGTTTATAGAACAGAGCTAAACTCGTACTTTGGAAAACCAGAAAGTTCCTAAAACAGTTATTGTTACCTATTGTTATTTGTGTTACCAGCTCCTGGTACAGTGTCTCTGGCACATTTTTAGTTTCAAATAAATTTAGGGTTTTATTTTTTCAAATTTAATTTTCACAAATTTGCACGTCATTCTTGAGCAGGGGCCATGTTAGTGTTCTCTGTATCATTCCAATTTTAGTATATGTGCTGCCAAAGCGACTACGTAAATAAATTTCGTTGAGTGACACAATTTCACAGAATTCGATTTCATAGAATGAAGTCAGTGACAGTGATGTGTCAGTTTAAAAGGAAAAGGCTGAGGCAAAAATGTAGAGTTTGCTTGAGTTAAAGTGGGGACAACTGCCCAGAAGATTTCCACCCCTCCCCGCCTCGGATAAGAGCTCTGTCCCGGCCGGGCGCGGTGGCTTACGCCTATAGTCCCAGCACTTTGGGAGGCGGAGGTGGGCGGATCACCTGAGGTTTGGAGTTCGAGACCAGCCTGGCCAACATGGAGAAACCACATCTCTTAAAAAAAAAAAAAAGAGCTCTGTCCGGCCTTTGCTACAAGCAGGGTTTTTAAAGACGAAAAGGGGAAAGGAAGTGAAGCTGATACAAAACTGTCAAGTATTCTCATTGATTTATAGGAACTACATGGATCAGTGATTGGCTAGACATTGTTAAGCTATAGGGTGTGGGTCATAGTGTCTTGTGTGGCACTGTTTAGTAGATAACTACCTGTGGCAAAAGCAAGTAGTTTCAGGAGATGAATACATAGCTCAAGGGGGAAGTGGAACGTGATGGGGTCTCATTTTAATGCCTCTCAAGACCGGGTAATTTCAAGGGACTTACATTCCTCAGATAAAAGTGCTTTCTCAAGAGAAATAATCAGGGCAAAGACAAGTACTGTAGGAGCTTTACATGAGTATGATCATTCCCACTTCACAGCAGGAGAACCTCTGAGGTTCAGAGGTTTGGGATGGCAGGCCTTCAATTTAAGCCAGAACAAAGTCCAGTCCCCAAGAGGTATACTGTCCCGGTGAGTATCAGGAACAAGCTTGAGTGCTGTGTTCTAAACTCTTGGTCCCCATTAACTTATTTAACTCTAAAAAAAAATCCTGTGAGTTAGCTGCTCTAGTGTCACCTTCATTTCACTGCTAAGGAAAGTGAAGCGCAGAAAGGATAACCAATGTGCCCAAGATGCCCAGCGTCTTTCCCTCAGCCCACAAATCGCGGAACCAGACTCCTTGCCAATACCCTTCGCCTCGCCGGGATTAACGGTGGCGCCCACGACCGGGGTTGTGACGCCACCCGACGTCCTCCGGAAGTGCACAGAGGAGTTCCGGGGACCAGGCGACCGCCGCGCCACTGGTGTCCTGAGCTTCCGGAGTTGAGCGCTGCCGCTCCGCGGTGGGGTCGCCGCACGGCCGCCGAGATCATGGTGTTCTACTTCAGCAGCAGCAGCGGTGAGTGGGCGCCGCGTCCTCCCCGGACCCTGCTGGACAGCGGGCTCCGATGCCGGGATCCCCAGCCCGCCGCTGCGCCTGAACCTCGCCCCAAAACGCCTCCTCGATGCCAGTGCCTCTTCCCGCGGCCGCTCGGTCCCTCAGCGCGTCTGTCCCTCTCACGTCCCCTCGTCACGGCGTGGGGGGCGCGGAGGGGCGATGCCACTGCTATGTTTGTGTCCGGGAGTTCTCGTCCCCCAGCCGGAAGGACGTCCTGTCACTCCCTGGAATTGGGCAGAGCCTGTGGGCTTCTCCACACACCTTATCCCCAGTCTTCTTCCCACCTCCCATCTGCGGCTTTTATTCCGGCTGCACCCTGGCAATTATCCCCCGTGAGGAAGGGGACACCCGCTAGCAACTTTTGCTTAAGGGAAGTGCGCCTTACCCTTTCAGGAAGGGGTTGTAGGGTCTGGGACGCAAAAGAAAGCAATAAAAAGACCCTGGAATGTCACACAGCCACTTCCTGGGCAGTTGATGTCCCAGATCTCGAAAGTGACCTGTGATAATGCTTCTGACTTAATCTTTGGCAAATAAGGAAAGGGTGCCTTTCGTTCCCAGGAACTGCGGTGTCCCGACTTGGCTTTATTCTGTTCCTGTTATTCCCCTTTCCTAAAACGAACCCTCAGCTGATTCCCTTAAGACAGTTTTGGCCCATCTTTTCCAAGATGCCTTTCCTGACCCGAGCTCCCACCCCAAGAGTGCTTAGCTATTCCTTTTCTGGGACCCACTTAACGTTCCAAGAATGCCTTTGGCATTGCACTTATCACGTGGTATTAAATGGTGTCTGCTTGAGCTAGAGTGTAAGCCCCTTGAGGGCGTGGACAGGATCTATTTACAGTACTCCCTACTTGTCCTGGGTTTCACTCTCTGTGGTCATATCATAACAAGAAGAAAAAGGATGAGTACCGTACAGTAAGATTTTGAGAGAGCGCACGAGAGAGAGCAGATTCGCGTAACTTTTACATTATATTGTTATAATTGTTCTATTTTATTATTAGTTGTCAATAATCTCTTACTCCACCGAACTGATACGTTATCATAGGTATATAGGAAAAACTAGTAGTCATGCATCCCTCAATGACAAGAATACGTTCTAAGAAATGCTTCATTAGGCGGTTTCATCGTTGTAGCAACATCCTAGAGTATCCTTAAACCCATGGTCCGGCCTACTGCAAACGTAGGCTGTGCGGTATACCCTGTTGCTCCTAGGCTACAAATCTGTCCAGCACGTTGCTGTATTGAATGCCGTAGGCAATTGTAATGCAATAGTATTTGCTTATTTAAATGGGTCTCAACATAGAACAAGTAATGAGTTGCACCACAGTGTTATGATGGCTACGAGGCCATCAGGAGAAAGTGATCGAAAATTTTCATCTCCGTTATAATGTAATGGGACCACCATAGTATGCGTGGTTTGTTGTTGACCA